ATTAGGGGTCCTGATGAAGGCCCTTTACTACAACCTGCAGCACCCCTATTCCCTTAAGCCCCTTAGTTGTCAAGTGCCTGGGCTGTGCCAGATACTTGAAGGTCACTTTAAGACCAACAGAGATAGGAAGGTCACATCTTTTACAAGAAAAGGACCCATTCATAAACTATTTTCCAAAGGGAAATATTGGGGTATTTTTAAATGTGTCATCCATTTGGATAAGCCACACTTGTCAGTGTTCTTGTTGCATGAAGATTGTCTCCTTTACTGTATTGTGCTTTGTCCAGGACATGACTTAGTAACCACCAGGCCATGCAGTCAAACTGGAGTCAGTGTCCCAAACTGCCCAAATTGCTTTTCCATGGAAGTTGGAGGGACCAGGTCAGCTGCAGGGCACCAGCTGCCAGCCAGACAGCAGGGGAATTCCTCTCCTGGATTCTCAAGTTTCCCTTCTCTAGTGCTCACGTTGTTGCATCTTTTGTCCAGGAGATGCCTGAATGGGCTGGCTAAGCTGGGGCATCCCAGCAAGTGTGGGATCCTGGACTGGAGGGGACATGATAGGGGAGGATGTAGATCAGTATGTTTTCCTTGAAGCTACTGTCACCATCCCTGGGAAAGTCTGCAGGAATAAGTGACAGTAAGAAGGACAAGGAACCAGGACTTGATGCGAGTGGCAGAGAGGTGAGTGGCAGGGCTATACCTTGCACCCTGATCTTCTGGTGCTGGCTCCAGCTGCTTTCCAGCCGTGACTTCTCAGTCTCCAGGTTCAAGGAAAAGCAACTAGAAGATGTCCAGACACCAACATCTCATGCAAGATACAAGGAAAAGTCCCAGTGGATCTTATTTCTGGACTGAGATGGATGGAGAAGCCCCAACTGAGCCCAGAGAACAAAAGGTGAGATGAGGCTTCCTCCCAGGAGGTGGGATCTTGCCTCTGAATGTGGGTGGTGAGCTGCAGCAGCAGCGGGGTCCTTCCCAGAGCAGGTGGGCTCCTTCCCAGGGGCTACATAAGGACTCTGGAGTTCAGGCCACAGTGTCTCTCTCTCACCTCCCTACTCCTCTTCTCATGCCCACCAGAGTGCACAACTCCTTAGAAGCCTTGCATAACGTAGTACCAACAACTGTCAGAAAGAGAGGAAACATGGCGATAATATAGGCAAAGCTCTTCTTCATAGCGGAGAGAAAAGGAGCATTGGTCAAGGTCACTATGTCAGCCTCAGGCAAAGCAGAACCCCCCAAGCCCTGGTTCTGTGCTCTTCCCTCTCCGCCACATGGCTCCTCCCTTCTTGTCTACTGCCCGGGGGTGGGGGTGGGGTACAGGAGAGAAGTGGGGCTTGGAGGGGCAGAAGAGATCTGGGAAGTCATATGCCAACTTGGGCTGAAGATGAGCTGGATGCCCTTCCCAGCAGGACCAGAGGGACAAGAGAGCTCCTCCATGTGACCTCATCCCCTAAGATGCAATGCGCTGAAACCAGGCCTGTGGTTCTAGGCTACTGGACGGGGCTCCCTGTCTCCTGGAGAAAGGATTTCTGAAGGTCATGGCTGGGGGGGGGCAGTGACTTGGAGACACTCCATTGAACGTTATCCTCCCTGACGCCAATCAAGACCGATAACTCTCTGGAGACGTTTTATCTCACACTCTTTGCTTCCTCATTGCCCCACGGAGGCAGCTTTTCCTGCTGAAGCACAGAGATTGCTGCACCACTGGGCTTCAGAGGAACCGGGCAGCGGGGTGCAGAGACTTTGGCCCAAGCTGTGCTGCCTCAGCACTTAGGGCTTTAGAAAAATTAGCCCAGGGGAATGAATTAGGTGCAGGTACACCCTGGGAGAGAGTCCAGGGGAGGGCAGGAAGCCAGAAGCTCTGTGCAGCAGGGAAAGGTCTGAGACCACCATGGCAGTGCCCAAGAGAGGGACCTGCTGAAGGGAAGGCACAGAGGGAGGTGTGAGGAGCCTGGGGGCTTTTCAAAACCTGGCCATCCTTGGGGCTGTACTGGATAGAGCAGCAAAGGCCTTAGTGAAGACGGCTGGCAGAGCCAAGCCGAGGTGACAACTGCACCTACAGGGCCAACCCAGGGACGCCACCTTCTCCTTCTCTGCTCTCTCTTCCCTCCTCCTTTATTTTCCTTGGGGCTGTACTGGATAGAGCAGCAAAGGCCTTAGTGAAGATGGCTGGCAGAGCCAAGCCGAGGTGACAACTGCACCTGCAGGGCCAACCCAGGGACGCCACCTTCTCCTTCTCTGCTCTCTCTTCCCTCCTCCTTTATTTCACCTGCTACCCTCCTTTCCTCTCCCTCTTCTCCTACTTTCTCTGTCGTCTGTTTCCTCCAATTCCCTTTTCTCCTCCCTTGGGTTTCCTCCTGCACAGCCTCTGTCCCAAACTGGTCAGTGGCTTTGCCTGGCTTAGTCTAGTTGTGGGGAAGGGTGAGAGGGTCCCCGGCCTCGGGCCCAACCATTGACTGTAAGCTCCTGTTCTTAACATTAGTGAAGTGTGCATTAGAGAAGGAAGGAGAAAACAATGGCTAACTGTAGTTTGTCTTTTAAAAAAATCTATGGGTCCCAGGAACTGCAGACAGTAGATAGATTCAAAGAGCAGATGTTTAATCAATCAAAAACCATCCATGAACACTCTGTGGGGAATACAAAGGAAGTATAATGTGCTATCTGTCATTTTAATCAGCAAGCAGTAAAAGACCATTGAGTAGTTCTCACTATGGTGTCTGTTAAAAGAAGGGTGGGTCCCCGTTCACAGGAGCTGTGCACTGCTGCCTAGTATGCTGGTGCTGCTTCAGAGCCTGGAGGTAGAGGAACGAGACACAAAGTCCTGCCCTCAAAGAGATCCCCAGGCAGGGGGAGAGACCGGAGCAGGGGGGAGATCGGCATGGACTGGGGGGCAGGGATGGCTTTCTAGAAGTCGTGGAGAAGAAACAGAATAGAACCCCAGTGCCAACGCTGCTTGGCCTGAGGTTTAATTTTTTCTTTGTTTAAAATTTTTTTCTCCACCTACCTTTACTCCCAATAACGAAGGTTAAATTTTCAACTCCTCGTTACAGACTGGAGGCACACAACAGTGAAACAGAAAGTTCTCCTTGAAGAAACTGATTCCCCTCTGCAAAGAGGAAGGGATGAGGAGAGAAGGGGAAGGGGACTATTGTGCACCACCAGGCACATTGCCAGGCACTTCACCACAATGTCACCTGAGTCGTTCAACAACCACCCCATACAGATTCTCTCATTCCCCCGGAGAGGAAACTAATCTGCCAATGTCCCACAATTCCAATTAAGGTTTGAACTTCAAACCTGTAGTCTTTCCACTCTACAATGCTCCTCCCAAATTCCGAGCTCCATGCTGGCCAGTGGGAGCAGGGGCTGGAATCCTACAGAGGGACTTTCTCCTCTTCTGAACACAGAAATGTCAAGAGTAAGGGAAATGTTAACCTTGGTGGTGGTGACCCAGGCCAAATGTGCAGGCTTAGGAGCATGAGTACAGAGTCATGCTTTCTCCAGGAGGGCAGTTCTTGTCTCCTTCACTGAGCAAACTGAGATCCCAGGTCCCACTGCCACTCACCTCGGCTTCTCATTTGCCTCCTCTTAGGTCTCTTTTCATTTACAGTGCTTTTTACAGGTTGCCCACCAGAGGGCAGGATGGAAGATGTCCCTCCTCCTCATACTGTGCCTGCTACAAGGTGAGTCCCAAGCACAGCCCAGATTCATGGCTCGCAAAAACCAGACCTGAGTCTTCCAGATGCAGAGAGTCCTGGTGGACACCACAGTGGCATTTGGCACAGTTTGGGCACATCCCTGGCTTTCTCTCCTGGAATCCAAGGAACGGTCAGATCTGGGCCCAGAAGGAATGAGAGGGGCAAGAACTTGCATGCCTTGATGACTTCTAGAATATTCGCTGTTTTGACATTCCCCATGTCTCTGCTCTGTGCCATTTAAGTTGATGGCTGGAAGTCAGCTGCAATTTCAAGCTAAGGTTTCCAGGGCTGCGAAAGAAAGAAGTAGCGATGCTTCACTACCACTCGTTCTGCAAACACTCTAGTGCCAGGCCCAGCTCTAGGGACATAAAGATGAAGACCCCGCCTTACTCTTAAAGAGTTTAGAATCTACAATGAAACTATATGGGTAAATAAAAATTATATTCATTCATTCACTTATTTATTCTACATACATTTATGAAGCGCTTATGAGGGGTCACTGGGGACTGATAAATGAAAGACAGGTTCCCTGTTCTAAAGGTCCTTGCAGGCCAGGGTGGTGAGGCCAGCCAGGCATAGGGCAGGCTCAGATGACAAATGACCTTGTCTCCATGCTGTGGTACCTGAATTTTTTTCTGATGGTAATGGGGTGGAGGGGCGTTGAAGAATGTAGTGAGTATGTGACCAGTGTGTCCAGTACCTACAACCTAGTCCCAAGGAGATGCTTAGCAGATAATTACTGAATGAATTAATGAATGGGTGAAAATGTTGTGATAATCCCAAAAAAGGATTAACAACTGTGCCTGGCTTATAAACAAATCAGAGTTTTAACGAAGCGAAGGTAGCCAATACTTGAGTAAATATTCTCTTTGTGATATAATCCCACCACCTCTTCATTTTAATCTCTCACTGCCCTCTTAAAAACTTTTCAGTAGGAGCAGGCTTCTCCTGCCCCCAAATGAAAAGTCAGGCAGGCCCATGATTTTTCTGCTAACATATAGGTAATAAATTACTTGCTTTTTAAAGTCTTAAACATTCTAAATTCGATCATTTTAAGCATCCAGTTATATATTTTGATCGGCACCTTCTACCCCTCTGCCCCATCCAGGCAGCTGCTGCTTGGGACCCCAGCAGAGTCATAACAGTGGAGGGTTAGGAGGGTAGGAGGGTAGGCCAATGGGACAGCCTGGCACTCTCTGGCTTGACTGGGGTTCAGAGCTGGCTCGCTACCTCTTCCTCTTGTGGGTGACTTTGTGGGCACCTGGACAGCCCCTGATGGCCTGTCTCCTCCTTTGGCCCCAGGTTCTTCTTTGGCCCCTCCACACAGAGGACCCATCTCAGACAGCTGCAGGCTGGCTGTCTCCCATCCAAGACCCACCTCTGGACCATAGAAGCACTTGCACCTTCCTCAGCCCTCTGCTGGCGGGAGGCAAGTTCCTTCGTGAGTGCAAACCCTACCATCCCTTTGTCCTGCCACAGACCTCTTGCACTTTCTCAAGTCAGGCTCCAGTCGTGGCCTCCCTCCAATGACAGGCATCACTTGCCTCTCCCTAGTGGAAGGCTTCAGCTAGATAAGAGATTGGAGCCATGACCTTTCATCGAACTGGGCTGGACATATAATTTTAGACTAGAATTGACTTTTTCTAATTCAAGAGAGACTATGAAAGGTACCATATGTGAGATCATGTCTGAGATTTCATCAAGGAGCACAGAAGTCCACAGAGAAAGTATAAAGAGGCAGGAGAGAAAGAATGAATTTTGTTTCTGCTTGTGACCTGTCGAATTCAAGTCATTCAGGTAGCTGGCCATATGCTGCGGCTCAACTATGCATTGTCTTTATGCCTATTGCCAAAGCAGACATATTCACATTACCACTTATCTGTGCCTTTACAGTGGCACTTGGTTGTTTCCGTTTCTACAGAAAAATGGCCAGTGCGAAAATTTTTGCAAACACTGATCGGGGGATGTACCCACCAACCAGAGCAGGACTCTGGTATTTCAGGGCACCTTGTCCTTTTCAGAGGAAAAGTACACCCGCATGTTCTCACTGTTTAGCTTCTCTTGTTCACATTCCATGCAAACCAGAGCCCTTCTGTCCAACAGGGCCTCAGCCCTCCTATGTGCACCTAGACGGCATCATTTTAGACACCTGCACTGGAGCACACGGAGCATCCAGGCTCTGGATGGACTTGGACAGGAACCCCTAGCACATGATAAGTGTTAGCTAAGTGGAGGGTGAGATTATCATTGCATTCTCATCTTTCAGGAGGGGTCTTGGATGCAGCTCCTTTCCATATCTCGGGTGACTCCTGCTGTCCCGATGGCTAAGCTCTGCCATTTCTACATTGATTCTGCTCTACATTCACAGTGGTATTTTCTGACCTGACTCCTAATTCTGGCAGAGTTTGGAGCTTGTACCTCCCCAAACAGTGACTATACTTACCGCTCTCTCGCCTTTGCCTTTTTTCTCTGCCTGCAGCTGCAAATGCATTGAAGGGCCCAAGACTGGTGTCTGGCGATCCTGGGGGAGCTGTCACCATCCAGTGCCATTACACCCCCTTGTCAGTCAACAGGCACCAGAGGAAGTACTGGTGCCGTCTGGGGCCCCCAAGGTGGATCTGCTACACCATTGTGTCCAGCAGCCACTACACTCACCATCGCTATCAGGGCCGTGTGGCCCTGGCAGACTTCCCACAGAGTGGCTTGTTTGTGGTGAGGCTGTCCCAGCTGTCCCTGGACGACGCAGGATACTACCGCTGCGGCATTGGAGACAGAAATGACATGCTGTTCTTCAGCATGAACCTGACTGTCTCTGCAGGTATGAGCACATGGCTGCTGGGCCAAGCTGGGCAAGCGAGTGCTAGGAAGGAGGAGGTGCAAGAGAAGGCTGAGAGCCGAGTGAGCTTTACATTGTAGGGCATGATGATGAAAAGCTGGGGCGAGGCAAAGACTTGAAGGGGTGGGCTTCCTTCGGAAGGAAGGTGGGTATTAAGAAAACTTCCCATCAAAGGCACATAAGCTCTCCCACCCCATTACCCCTGAATGTTGTGGGATGTATATTTGGAGATAGTCCTAGAAGGTAGTGAATTGGATAATGCGGCTTCTTAGGGGATGTTGCCTCTGCATTTATACACGCAGAGGAGGGATGGCAGGGTACAGCAGGCACCACAGGCGGGACAGAAGAGTCGACACCAGCTCTTCCTAAGACCCTCGCTAAGTCCCTCAGCAGGCAGTTGACAGCCACCAGCCCCACACCGTAAGTGGCAGTTTCCAGAAGTTGATCTGGAGTCAGGCACCCAGAGTGTAAGGAGGGGCATCCAGGCTGTGAAGGCCACTACTGACAGCCACCAGGCCCACACCATAAGTGGCAGTTTCCAGGAGTTGATCTGGAGTCAGGCACCCAGAGTGTAAGGAGGGGCATCCAGGCTGTGAAGGCCACTACAGAAGAGCAGGCAGGGTGGCAGCAGCCTGGGAGCAGATTCGTTTTACGACATGCTGCCATCTGACCGTCTGCTGCAGCTGGCTGCTCTGCTGCAGCAGGGGTGTTTCTTTCTTTTTTATTTTTTGAAGAGCAGTACCTGATGGGCTGTGGGCCTCCAGGGAAAGGGAAGCATAGGGGTCCTGGACAGCTAGAGAGAGAATATGTGGGTATGGGAGAAGGAAACAGGAATATAAAATGTCAATATTTGCAACAGACTAGAGAATACATCCAGGTTTCCCAAATTTTTATTTTAACCAACATATTGGCCAAAGCCTGCATCTCTTAGTGAGGTTGCATCCTATTTAGCAAACGTTTTGAACCCAACATTCTTTGTTAAATCCAGGAGGCGGCCTGGATAGCCTTTTCATGTGGTCTCCTTCTGCCGTTCGCACAGGTCCTTCCAACAGCACCCCTACTGCTCCTCTGGCTGCCGGTGACCTCATCATGGGCTCCTCAGGAACAACCCCTCCAGTGGCCAACAGATGGACCCCAGGAACCAGCCAGACTGTAGAAAGATGGGGAACAGAATGGAACAGAATTGCTTCAACTCCAGGAACCAGCAAAACCACAGCACCAGCTAAGGGAAGACAAACCCCAGGAACAATCAGGACAGTAGCTCCAGGGACAGGCAGCTGGGAGGAGGGTTCCACCCAGGCAACAGCTCCCATTCCAGTGAGTCCAGCTTTAAAAATCAGAAGCATGTCCAGTACAACAGAAGATGCTTCGGTGTGGGGCATCAGAAGCTCAGTAACAAATAAAGCTAGGGTCAGCGAGGACGGGACCAAGATGACCACTACCAAGGCCAATAGGCCAAGGGAGGAAACAGAGAGGGTCAGGATAGCTCCGGATCCTTTGGAACAGCACCTCCAGTGGCCAACAGATGGACCCCAGGATAGTCCCCAGGATGCAACCAGGAAGGTCATAGGAACCATTAGGCCATCAGCCCTGGTTTCAGAAAAATTGGCCTGGGAAACTCTCCAAGAAGCAACACCGGTTTCTAAGCAACAAGCCCTGGGCTCCACTGAAGGAACCACCCCAGCTGTAGGCGTGTGGACCTTGGGAACCACCAGCATAGAGACGGCATCTGTGGAAGGAAGCAGTGAAGGGGACCTGGCCACTGCTGCTGGAGACAGTGGTCCCCAAGCAATGACCAGCCAGGCCCTGGCAGCAGGACCCCTGAGACCCTCTGGTGAGGAGTCCTCCGTGAAGAGGTAACCCCCAGACCCCTCCCCTCGGGCAGGGCCCCACATCTGCCTCATCCCCCGGTGTGCCCCGTCCCACAGCTTACTCTCTCCCTTCGTACCCGCAAGACAATAAAGGGCAAAGGACATACGTGTCAGGCAGCCTCTCTCCCTCAAGGTCCCTGCTGTGAGAATGCTACCTGAGTGGTTTTCAAACAAAATCTAAATGATAGAATGACAGAATATTTGGGCTGTAAACTTTGGGACTTTTTTTTTAAGGTGAGGAACAGAAGCTTCAGAGAGGAGCGGTGACTTGCTGAAGCCACAGGGAAAGTGGCTTTCTTTAGTCTGGCTGGTTCCTGGGGTTCAGCTCTTGGCCGCTGGAGTTAGTGGCAGAGCCAAATTCCAAGGCTGGCGACCCCGAGCCTCCCCCTTGGTCCTCTTTCTCGTGATGACCCACAGCAGGGCGCACACACAGGTGGGTGGGGTAGGGCAAAGGATTCGGGGCTTGGGAATCCAAGGACGGCGGGGCTAGTCCCAGCTCTGCTACTAACCAGACAAGGGAATGGAACAAGGGTGGCCAACTTGCCTTGGCCTCAGCTTCTCCACCTGCAAAACAAGGGGCATGGGTGGGCCGAATGGTCGTTAATTTTCTGTCCAGCTTCAGCCTCCATTCTCCTGCGCTCTTCCCATCCCCACCCTCGATCCTCCCACTCCAGTGTCTTTCCAGAAGAGGAAAACAGCTCTCGGATCCTGACCCCAGTCTCTGCCACGCTGGCCCTGTTCATGCTTGTGGCTCTGGTTCTACTGCAGAGGAAACTCTGGAGAAGGAGGACATGTGAGTTGAGTTGAAGCAGCCCCAAGGTTAGGGAGAGCAGTGCTTGTTCTCACCTGACGCCCTCAGAGCTGGGTCAGGGTAGAGTCGGTGCCAGGACTTCTGAATGTAGAACAGCTTAATTCTACTCTAAGCCACTTCACCACTCTTGGCCTTGGTTTGTTAATGAATAAAATGGGAAAATGGTCTCTGTACTTATGTCTCGGTGGCATCCCAGAGCTTAAGGAGAAGCTCTTTAGAGGATGGCGTCTAAGCCACTTAACCACTCTTGGCCTTGGTTTGTTAATGAATAAAATGGGAAAATCGTCTCTGTACTTATGTCTCGGTGGCATCCCAGAGCTTAAGGAGAAGCTCTTTAGAGGATGGCAAGACACGTGTGAACTGCAGGCGTAGGAGCCATCAGCAACCCCAGTTGCAGAGGGCAGGAGTGCAGAGCCCAGACCCGGGACCAAAGTTTGCATTTGTACCCTTCTGCACGGCCTGCTGAAATTCCCTGACAGCAATGTGCCTGGGTTTAACTACTCTCAAAGTGAGTGCTCCATGGTGTTTAGGCCTGGTGAAGAAAGCGGGGGATTTTCTGGGGGCTAGTGGAGGAGGCTAAGTTTCTTAGATCAGGACCCTGAAGGCCTGTCCCAAGCTCTGTTGATCTAAGAGCTCAGTTGCAAGTCTTCTGTGTTGGGAAGTTCTCAAAAACTGCAGTGGGTGGGAGTGGTTCTCAGGGAATCCGACCCAGCGCTGTCCACACTTAGAACCCTCACGTCCTGCTCTGTGTCTCTGCAGCTCAGGAGGCAGAAAGGGCTCCAGGGGTCACCCTGATTCAGATGACATGCTTCCTGGAGCCAAATCGCCAAACAGACCA